ATTTGATATTTCAAATTGAATTCAAAGTTTGCCTGATAAAGTTGTAGTAATCTATAAACAGATTCTTGTGATTTTTTTGTCATAACTTGCAAATTTTTGCTTTCAAGCCATACAGTATTGAGTTAACAACCTTATTAAATATATCAGTACGAATTCAAAGAAGTGAGTTGCTTCAAAAATTAACACTTCAATAAAAATCAAATCAAAAAACTGTTTTTTGTTTTTTGATACTTTTTCATTTTTCACAGCATATTGTTTTAGAAATTATCAATAAAGCATCTATATATACTGGTTATCAAAAAATGTCAATCAATATTAATTTTATTTTTTGTTCATTAGCGTCGCGAAAATTTAAATATCAATTACATATAAAGAAATATGAAAAAAATGTTCACCTTACCCTCGGATATCATGTGTATTACTAAAACTAACTCCGAACATTTGGTGTGTTCTCTGCCTATTATAATAATATTAGTTTAACTGCTTACTTGAGTAAAATTTATTAATATATGCCTGAGTAATGCTAGAATTATTTTTTTTAAATGAATTAAAAAAGAAATTCAAAATTCATAAGCCGTTGTATATACGGTAAAATGAATCAAATGGAAAATTTTATACGATGCGCAAAAACGCAATAATATGAAATTCGCAAAGTTTTGAGGAATATCCAATCATCAGCAGCCTGTTTTGTGATGTTTATGTATATATTTTATGTGTTTATTTGCCAACAAATTGTTGGAATGTTAGAAGGGAAGGAATGGATGAAAAGATACGTTTGTTACTGGAATTAATGGTCTGCTACTAACGATTTTCACGTAAATGCTACAAAAATTGTCTTTTCCGTTTGCTTTTTCCTCTCTTCTTCGTTTATAATTGCACAGATTATGCAAATATATTTATTCATATAATACCTAAAATAAAATACGAATTATCAAAAGATTATTTATTTTATGATGTATTTTAGTACAAAAGATTTTGGCAGTGCAATTGATGCAAGTAGTATTAAGATGGAAATTGCTTGTTAAGCAGACAGTTGATAATATTACTGTCAACTAAAAAAAACTGCATGCAGTAAAAATAACCAAAATTATTATATAATAATTTTTGTTTATTAATTTTAAATTACGGTATGAAAGGTCAATTTGCATTTTAATATATGTGAAACAATTACTCGGTTTAAATGCTATTATTTTTTTAAAAATATTTTAAAAATTTGTCAAAATATGTAAAATAACTTAAATGAATCTATTAAAAATTAATCAACTAATTGTTTTATTGGCATTTATTATTAAAAAATCAAAATAATTCAATATGGTTGATTAACAAGCCATCGTTTAAATAAACTCTAATTTCACACCACGAAGTTGCTGGTTCAAATTTCTACATCTACTTTTGCATGGACTCTAATCACATATATCAGTGTTAGTGCTAAATTTTTGACCCAAAATACATTTAAATACATAATTTAATAAGCAGCAAACCATTTTATTATTTAATATTTATTGTTATTATTATTATTATTACTATTATTATCACTGTTTTCTTGGCATTGTTGATTAAAAAATCAAAATAATTCAATATGGTTGATTTGTTTGATTTTTTTTCTTTTTTTTGTTTTTCAAATATAATTTATAATTATCACTATCATTATTGTTATTACTTTTTATCATTACCACCATTAAACATATTTTGAAACCAAACTGAAGTGAGTAATCATAGTAATGAATTATTATTTCAGGAGGAATAACTACAAAAATTTCCACGCTCTGTAGATTAGAAACAATTATAAAGACAGTAATTGTAAGAACTATTAATTTTTATTCCAAACCATTTTATAGCAAAAACACAACTACTTTGTATTGAAATTACAACTTAATTGAAGTAAAACGAGAATAAGAAGCAATTTTCTACTTAACTGATCACTAAACATTTTTAGGACAATTTTTTTCATGTTCTTTTGTTTGGAATTTTAAATACTTTTATTACAGTATTAAAAGTACTGTCAAGCAGTCAATCAAAAGAGTTAGCTCAAAAAACTTCGTTAATCTATGCTAAGTTCTAGCTTCAGCATAGACATATATTGTTACTTAATGTTAGAAGATGAAATGGAAGCCAATAAAAAAGTTTATTTTCATGTTACTTTCTTCGATTTTTCGTCAGAACTTAATCAGACAAGTTAGTGTGAAAGTAACCAAGTAATTTTGTCAATGTGAATTTAACTAAATTAAATATTTTTTAAGCTAATTCCTGTTAATTGGCGGACTAAATATTTGATTACTTGGGATTACTACGAGCCACAGACTGTTTTATCTGATAACATTCGAACTGAATCCAGAATTTTCTTTCCTAACTTACTCTACTGCTATTCTTATTATATCTTTAAATATTCTCTGCTAACCATTTTAGAGTCTCATCTAAACAATGTTTACTTGTAATTTGTAATTTGCTCACTAAGTGCAATCGAACATGAAGAACAAAATAAAATCCCTTCAATCGCATGTAATGTTAGAACAGTATTAAAGATAATGTTCACAATTTTTGGATCTCTTTCAAAATATTCAATTTTCCAACCATAAAATTAAACAAAAATTGTATTACAACTGACGCAGTTAGTGTATTTTTATTTTTATGCAAAAAAAATCGGACTAAACAAAATTCAAAATTGAGCGATACAGTATGACAAGAGCAAGATGTAGATGTCACAGGTGCACATTGATTTCTGTGACATTCCTCCCCTAACCTTTAACCATACTAATTTATTTATCCAATTAGATATTTATTTATTGCTGTTATGGTATGAATCATTTTGTCGAATGCTCAATGTAAATTCAAAACGATATTACGACTTTTCACCTGCTTACCAACCGATGAACCAAGTTGAGTTTTAAGTAACCATATTTTTTTAAATTGTATTTCAAAGGCACCTCGACTGATATTTTTAATTTCAGAAAAATTACCTCTCTTACCTCAATAAATTTCAATCTTTTTATGTTTTTACAGCTACGTGTTTCGCCTGTTTCATCAAACTTCACAAGCAAATGTTGAATCATCAATCACTAACATAGGTAATAATAGTATTAACAATATTCCAACGTCGCTCAACTTTCTTATCTTACGGTAGATTCATTAGCAAATATTTCCTAGTTAACGCTATCGCCAATCTAATAGATTAGAATGCTGCCTGTAGAGATGCGATATCCAGTCAAAAGCTTTCTGTCATGGTGCAAGTGTTTGCTTTCAAAATTTTTAATAGTAAACTATGCTTATGTTAGATTACTTTATTACGATAAATTTTGTTTCAATTTTTAATAATTGTTAATCATACAATTTAAGTAATACAAAACAAGAAACATAAACACTACATTACATCACCTATTCAAAAATAATTTGCCATGTAATAAACCGATAATGTAAGTGGTAGAATTTGAAATCTTAATTAAAGTGAGGAGCGAAAAAATTATAAAATTTGGATGTTAAAGTACTATAGAATTGAACCATTGCTAACTATTAACATTGTAAGATCAAGATCAAACATTACCAGTACTCAAGATTCGTTTACTATCAGTAATCAATAACCAACCATTTTTTTAACCATAGAACCTGTATATGTTTAAATTAACTGTGAAAAATAAAAACAAAACATGCAAATAGAGTAAACCAAGACAGAGATAACTGAAAAAACAATAACCATCACATCAATAACGCAACGTAACTACTACTTCAGTATAAAAAGTTTATAATTGTCAAGAAATGTAAATGTTTGAGGAGTTTCGGAGTACAACAGTGAGGTAAATATACTTCATAAAATTGCAGCCCATGAATGCATTAAAAACTGAATTACCTCCTGGATGTGATTTATATATTCCCAACGATGTCATAAACTCTTTCACATTTATTCTAAAATGAAGTATCGAACTCAACTTTTGACTAAATTTAAGATATACCGAATCTTAAAACAAACTATGCCATATAATTTC